TTGCGAATAGTTGTGTTTACCTATATCGGTAATTCGCGTTGCGAAAATGAAATTCGCGTTGCAAAAATTTTCATGTTCGAGTTGCGAATTCTAATTATATGTTGCGAATTCCAAATTCGCTTTGCGAAATTGGAGTTCGTGTTGCGAATTTGTTGGTTATTTTTGCAAATCCAAAAAAAGTTGGTTAAAATCGTATATTATAAAACATTTTCGTTCACTGAAGTTATTTTCTCTTTATTTTATAAAATGTCCAATTGTCAATATTTCTATATCCCTTGTACTTGATGTTAATATTTTTTAAATATTTTATTCGAATGTTTTCAAAAACACTCTATTATAGAATGAGCGTGAAAAACACTGCTTGATTGAAGTAGTGTGATTCGATACGACATTCGAATGCAAAGTGAACTTGAATTAAGTCGAGTTTATTTTTATTAAAATGATAATTTAATTCATTTATGTTAACTCAAATGTTGGCTCTTTAAATAGTAAGTTATTTTATGCGATTACTGATATTCAATTTATATTTGATTGATGATTTTCTTGATAATATTGAGGATGAGACATTTCTTGTATATAGAAGAAATAGATAGGATAGTCTTCCCATTGAAGGACATACAAATCCTGTGATTTCTTCTCAAATTAAGGAATGTTACCTAATAATTTATTAGAAACAAATTAATTAATATTCAATAAAAGGATCGCACTTTAAATATTGATTCGATTTTTTTTTAATTTCCACCACGACAACATACAAGTTATTAAGTACTAATTTTTGGCGTTGTGGGGGTGCTAACCCTTCCCCACCCGTAATTGACTCCCGAACCTAAAATGAATCTTTGACAAACGCAAACCAGTTTCATGTCTTAAAAATGATTTTTCTTAAAATTATTTAAAAGATGTTTTTAGGTGTTCGACCTACCTAACCCAAAGGTTGACGATGACTCCAGATCAATTGAATCTAAAAAAACACAATTGTTGAAACATTTTAATATTTCGATATAACAAATTTAGTTAAATGGATTTTAAGATTTTCCAAATGATTTTCTAAGTATATTCGATATAACTATTCGAATATCAAAACATTACTCCAAATATTTCAAAAATCATTTTTGATCCTTACTTAAGTGTAAAATTAAGTTTTAATCATAAAACAATTTCAAAATAATTTTACAAAGTATTTCGAACCAATTCAAAGCCAAAAATTCCAGATTGCTCAGAGGGAACCGATTCCCCCATAGGAACCGATTCCCCCCCTGAATGGTTTGGCTCCGAGATTTCCAGAATGCTCGGAGGGAACCGATTCCCCCCAAGGGGGTACCGATTCCCCCCTGTTCAAACGGTCGAAATATTTGAATTTTACACTAGGAAACGATTCCCTATGAGAGGGAACCGATTCCCCCACGCTCCAAGCTGTTTTATTAAATGTTTTCACACTAAAACGGCTATAATCTTCTCTAATTATCCCCAACGTTCAGAAGTGATCCAAGGTGTATTTAAGCAAGTTTAGAAGCCATTGATCAACAACAAGAAACATCAAGCAACTAGAATCAAGAGAGAATCAAAGAGAAAGCATCAAACCTCAAGTTTGAGCATTTCAAGCCTATTTTCATTCAATATTCTTTTTGCTTTCAAGAACACTTTCTGTGCTCAATTGTATTCATCTTTGAGTATTCTTTTCTTTGTTCTAGAATTGTGCAAACATCTTACCTTGTGAGGTTTTCTTGTAAGTTTGCAAATTTGTAATCTTCTCTTTGAGAAAAGAGTGTTCTCAAGAGTTGGGGTATACTCTTGAGGGAATTGTAAGGTTATCTCTTTGGCCTCAAAAGAAAGAACAAATTAGTGAATTTGTTGGAAAATCCTTAGTGTGGATAGCTAAGGTAGTGGACGTAGACTTTGTTTGAGAAAGTCGAACCACTGTAAATCACTGTGCAAATACTTTCAATTCTCTGCAAAAGCTTCCACAAAATTTTTATTGTCAATTCACCCCCCTCTTGGCCAATTTCGTCATTCGATTAACTCAACAACAAAAATTCAAGTTTTCCTAAATAAGTCGTAAATTCAAGGTTCTCATCGAAAAAGTATTCGTTCGTCAAAAAAGACGTTACGACATTTGTTAGAGATTTTATCTATGTATTGTATCTAACTTAGAGACTATTATACAATTGTGTTCGGAAAATATAGATTCTTTGAGAGTTCTGATAGTGAAGAGGTCTATCCAAAGATCCCAATCGATGAAAAGTTGTTATTTTTAAGATGATATCTAAAGGTACAATAATGTATATAAAGATTTTATAGTTATATAAATTTAATTTTTAAAATAATATCAAATATTATAAAATAATTAACCTTAAACGTTAAAAGCATCATATAAATATTTAAGTATTTGGCAATAAAATTACTAATAAAAAATAACAAAAGATTTATAAGAATTCATAAAGAAATATAAAGTACAAATATAACTAACTTGTTATTTGAATTGATGATAAATACATTGGATATTATCAATCATATTTCTTTCAGATTACAAACTCACGACATCAAAGATTCAATGAAACTTGAGTTTAAAAATCATTTTATAAAGCTAAAAACATATTTTTTTATATAATCACTGGTATCCGATCTATTGATTGATTAACCTAGATCGGATACTGTAGAGGCAAGAACGACCCTCCCAACCTGGTTTACAAAGTTAAACACATTAATTATCGATATAACTATGTGAATTGTTAAAAAAAACTTATCCCGTATATATATAAAATTAATTCATGATATATTAAAAAAGTATTATAAAATATTTTATTTAAAAGAAGTTTACGTCATATTATAAAATTACAATATTTGGAATTCATTAAATTGATTGAGTGATTAAAGATATTCATAATCCTGATATTTATCTTAAAAAGTATAAAATCTCTCCACTTCATAAAAATTATAAATTTTAATATACAAAATCTCTTTGTTCTACGCATGCATCGTAGCAGAAGGGAAGATGGAAAAATCCAAGAGGACTTACATAGTTCACATGGACAAGTCCAGCATGCCACATAGTTTCACTCATCACTCCCAGTGGTACGATTAATCTCTAAAATCCGTCTCCGAATCAGCACCCATGCTCTACACATACGAGAACGTCATCCATGGCTACTCCACGAGGCTGACAGTCGAGGAAGCTGAGTTGCTTCGTAAAGAACATGGAATACTCTTTGTCATACCCGCAGTTCGATATGAACTTCACACAACTCGAACACCAGAGTTTCTTGGATTAACACAGCACAGCGCTCTGTTCCCCACATCTGCTTCAATGAGTGATGTGATTGTTGGGGTGTTGGATACCGGTTTTTGGCCGGAGCTGAAAAGCTTCGATGATTCCGAGCTTGGACCGGTGGCTTCATGGTGGAAAGGCGGGTGTCAAGTGGGAAAAAACTTCAGTTCATCGAGCTGCAATAGGAAACTGATTGGTGCCAGGTATTATTCACAAGGGTATGAAGCTTCCATTGGAGATATTGATGAAACAATGGAATCGAAGTCTCCGAGAGACGATGAAGGACATGGAACTCACACAGCAACTATGGCTACCGGCTCGGTTGTGCCTATGCTAACTTTCTGGGATATGCTAACGGGACTTCACGTGGGATGGCTTCGCATGCCCGAGTGGCCATCTATAAGGCATGCTGGCATGGTGGGTGTTTTAGCTCTGATATTTCAGCAGCCATGGACAGAGCTATCGCCGATGGAGTCAATATTCTGTCGATGTCGATCGGTGGTAGACCATCGGAGTACTATCTTGACGTTGTTGCCATTGGAGCATTCTCAGCAGTTGTACATGGAGTTTTTGTATCTTGTTCAGCAGGAAATGGTGGCCCTGTACCAGGCAGCTTGTCGAATGTTGAACCAAGGATAGCGACCATAGGTGCCGGAACATTAGACCGTGAGTTTCCTACCCTCATTACTCTTGGAAATGGCGAGAAACACACCCGCGTGACACTTTTTAACGGAAAACTAGTAGCTAATTCCACTGTGTCACTAGTTTATGGCGCTAGTGTGAGTAATACAAGTGTTGGAGGTTATTGCCTGAACGGAATTCTGATTCCGGAAAAGGTTTCGGGGAAAATTGTGGTATGCGATTGAGGGGGAAATGCGAGGGCCGAAAAAGGAGTGGTGGTTAAGGCTGCTGGTGGTGTAGGAATGATTTTGGCCAACATCGATCCTTTCGGCGAAGAGGTAATCGCCGATGCGCATCTCTTGCCTTCAGCAGCTGTTGGTGAGAAAACTGGGGATTCAATCAAGAAATATATATCTTCTGATCATAATCCAACTGCCACAATTGGTACTGCAACCACAGAGTTAGGTGTTCAACCATCCCCCTTGGTTGCAGGATTCAGTTCGAGAGGACCGAATCTGGTTACTCCAGCGATACTTAAACCAGACATTATTGCACCAGGGGTCGATATCCTTGCAGGGTGGAGTGGTGAGGTCGGTCCAACCGGATTAGAGATTGACAAAAGGCATGTAAACTTCAGTATCATTTCGGGAACATCCATGTCATGCCCCCATGTTTGTGGTTTAGCTGCAATTGTCAAAGCTGCTCATCCCGAATGGAGTCCAGCAGCCATTAAATCCGCCCTCATGACCACTGCTTATACATCTTACAAAAGTGGTGAAAAAATTAAAGATTCTGTCACAGGAGAACCAGCCACACCGTTCGATTACGGTGCCGGATATGTCGATCCATTTGGAGCCCTCGACCCTAGCCTTGTCTATGATGCCACCATCGACGACTATCTCCATTTTCTTTGTGTCTTGAACTACACACGAGATCAAATTAAGAGCACTACCCTCAGAGACTTTACTTGTGACACAATCAAAAAGTACACACGGGGGAGATTACTCACAATTCGAATCTAAAGAATTTGATTTCTAAATGATATAATTAATATCTAGAATTTCAATTAATCTATTATTTGGTTGAAATTTTGGTTTGTTTTCGCGTTTCAAAGGATGGAATGGACATATCAGACATGGATTCACGCGATAAAAGATGTTTCTTCTCCGTGGAATTTTGAAGAGCTTGGTAGGGATCTACGTACTGCTATTAGCACTACCAAATGGCAGGTCATCTTTATGCATTCTATCATTATTTTCATGATTGATTCGTTCATGAATTGGTTCATGATCTTGAGGAATTGAATTTGTTTTTGCAGTTAGAGGAGTTTGAAAAGGCTGTTCAATTGAGTTCCCCTAGCGAGGAAGCTAGGGATAGGCATTGTGAATTCATCTTAGCAATTAAGGATCAGATTTTAAAGATTGAAAAATATTTGCAGGAATCAGCTTGTAAAGAGGCTAGCTCATCGATGCATTTGGATGAAGGTGAATGTAACGAGCTCGCTCTATTTTTGTTCGCACCCGGAGACACAACACTTCCTTCTAAGAATCATGGTAGGGGTAATGAAGTTCGACGAGGGATGAATAGAGAATCAGCACCAGATTTGTTGAAGAATGCAGTTCAGTCTATTGAGTTGAGCTCATCTGAGCCTAACAGCGAGAAGTCAGTTGGGCATAGGAGGGCTGCTAGTGCTGCTAACATTGGTGCTTGGAAGATTGCAATTGGTGATGATGTTGTACAGAAAAACACTTCCAATAGTCGGCCTTTTATTCCACCAAGAATGGCACCGAGTTCTGGTTCCCTAAGTTCCATGGAATCTGCAGCCATGGGGAATTGGTCAAAGAATAGCCTCAGGAAGTCAAAGGCAACGTCTCGTCAACAAGAGTCTAAAGCAGATTTCTTGAGACCTCCCGAGTTGCCTAGGGTGAAATTCTACCGCTGTATTAAATGAGTTATAGTTTTCAATATTTCACTTTTCATTACCATGTTTTATGCCATTCCATTAGTGTTTATAAGTTCCTGTTTTATCTTTTCGTCCTGCAGGGAAACGATGAATGCTACGAAAAGAATACTGGTGGGGTAGATTGTGATGATAAGCAACTTAATAGCTGGTATGGGTCTTTCCAAAAACAGCTTCGATGGTCTCAGTATCAAACTAAAAGTAACCGTCCTGTTGACATAGCAGTTTGGGCTTTGATGTTCATTTGTGTGATTGGTGAGCTGTCCTCAAGTTCTCAATTTTTCTTCATCCTTTTCATGTTTGTTACAGATATTTTCTGCTTATCTGTTTACGAGTAAAACTCAATGCTCTTTCTCATCAAAGCAATTTTTTTTTTCTTAATGCGAGCAAAATATTTACCAATGTTTTCATGATTAGTAAAGTCATTTCATTCTTTGGCTGTTATCTGCACTTTGTGCTACTTAGCTTGAATGGTGAATTCTCGTTGCAACAGAGCATAAGAGTATTGCATCCTGCAGAGTGACCAGAAGAAGAAAACTCTAAAGATCACTAACAAATATAAATGCATATCTATGCCCCATTGGACCTTAGATTATTTCATGATATTAGGGAATTAGAGTTTGAGATTCCAAATGCGTACTAATTGTGGACAAACGATTATTGATGAGACTAACATCGGTGCATGGTACTTCAAATTCTTTGCAGTTTTAGGTCTTGTAGAATGCATGACCTGCAATCTTAACAAGTTTATCAGATAAAAACAGAATATAAATATTCAACGAAACAAACTTCCTAAAGGCACCATTTTTGGTCCATAGGATTGATTGCTCATAAGAGAAGAGAATATTGTTATGCTGTTATCGATAAAGATACAGAAGGTTGAGTATAATGGCGAATTTCTGGTGGTTATAAAAATAATGCTATGGAATCTATCTGGTTGAAGGATTTTGAAACAATTTGTTGGTAGAGTTTTCTGTAATTAGATAGTATGCAAGTCGAAGTTGGATTACTTCAATGGTGTACATAATAGCACAAATAGGCCTAGGAATTTATCATGTGAATGATTAACCCTTTGCTGGTAGAAAACTATGACAGGCCTGAAATCACTTGGGATGTATTAAGATAATTAGAACCAAGATTAAGTGCCTTGATATTACGAAGGTAAAGTCGTTTGCTTTGCCTCATGTGATATCATGTAACGAATTCATATTTTTCTAAATTTAGTTCGCCAAGTTTATGAAGCTTAAACTTGTTTTTATATTATGCAGTTTTGATCGCATTGCATAGCATATGAATAGGACACACTTGGAACCGGCGATTTAGAATCAGTAGCAGATTATTTGGTCAAAAGTGCTTGAGGAGTATATGATGTGCGTATTATGCTTTCACTGGATGATATGCCCGGTTACGTCTTGGGTGAAGGTAGCATGACGAAAAGCAAGATCACCTTTTGTTCCTTCTCTTGGCCACTTCTTGCGCTTCCTTCGGACATCGCTTTTTTTCTGATGAAGGAAAGGTGCCGTAGTTTAGCAAGGATTTGAGGGATTACGGAGTTGAACCGAGGCTGTCAGTGTAACACCTATTTCTCGTATATATTTTCGTACACAAGATACAGATGTCACATTACTTTTAGAAACCATATACTTGTTTGTAAAACTCATAAAATTTTGTTTCAAAATTTCATAACAAAACATTTTAATATAAAGCAAAACATTCGTTGTAATCTATTACGAAGTTATAACTTAAATATATTCCAGAACATTTTTCTTCAATTACATGCCAGTTAATTTTCAAAATAAACCAGATTGTCCTATTGCTACTGCCGAGTCAACCTTAAATTGATGATAGCTGCTGCTACTGCTGCACTCCTTACTCGGCTAGTCTCTGTTTTTACCTACGCGTGAAATCAACACACATTAAGTATTTATTTAGTGAGACATAATATTGTAAATAAATATTAATGTATACATAAGTATATCATGTTTACTTGGTTTCAAACAAAATCGTATACTCCATAAGGATCAGATAAATCCGTCTCAGTTAAACCAAATTTCTTTCATACAATCATCGTAATTATTCTTAGTATACCCATTATATATATCTTTCTGTATATTTTCCCATTATTCTTTATTTTCATTTATGACATCCTTTCATGCCAAAAATGCATTGTTATGCATTTTCATTTATGTTATCCTTTCATGCCGATAATGCACAGTTATGCATTTTCATTTATGGCATCCTTTCATGCCTATAATGCACCATTATGCATTTTCATTTATGACATCATTTTATGTCAATAATGCACCGTTATGCATTTTCATTTATGACATCCTTTTATGTCGATAATGCACCGTTATGCATTTTCATTTATGGCATCCTTTCATGCCTATAATGCACTATTATACATTTTCATTTATGGCATCTTTCATGTTGATAATGCACCGTTATTCATTTTCATTTATTCATTCATTTTAGAGCAGTTCATATTCTAAAACTCATTCATAATATCCTTTCCATACATATAATGAAAGTATATTAAATAATGTAAAACATACATTAAATAAAAACATTGTAACTTGACTCATTGTGAATCTTACTCATCTCATATAAATACAATAAATTTACTCACCTGATAAGCCTTGCTAGTCAGATGTAATGATGTTCGACTATTCAGTAACTTTACCCTTGCCCTTTTTCTTACTAGACTCAGAGATTGATTATGATCTACACAAGCATCCATTAAAGACACATATCATACCAAATGTTAGTATATTCCCTAACATTTATACTTTGATAATACTCAAACGTACTATTATTTCAATTTCTATTATAATTTCAGCCTATCTTATAATTCCAGGATCAATAGTATCGGTACCCCTACCATGGTATCGATACTTCTATACTATGGTACCGATACTCTCTTTCAGTATCGATACCATTTCTATATTCTGGAATCCATGGTATCGATAACTTTCTCGTAGTATCGATATTCACATCAATATTGATACTAATTGCTTTAGTATCAATATTGTTCATCATATTTCTACCAATTTAAGCATATAATATCAGTATGTTCTTTCAGTACCGATACCCCTTACCTAGATTTTCCATTTTTCAGCTCGATGTTTTCACAAATTTAGTCAAATTCCCTTACTTTTACCTCCAACAATGCTATTAAACTCTTCTTTACTTATCCCCACTAACTTTTCTTAATTTAACTTATTATAACATCTAAAATCTCCAAAGAATATCTCAAACGAAGAATCATACCACTTTTTCTAACATGTTATTAATCACATCCAAGGCTTCTAATCTCTTATTTACTTCTTTGACAAGTCAAATATACTAAAAACCTCAATAAAAACTTATATATCAACATATCATTCAAAAACCCATTTTCTTCAATCTCAAATAATTCATCCATCTATTAGCTTTAATCTTATTTAATACTTCCTTAAGCCTCTATAATACTCAATGTTTCAAGAAAAAACCAAAAACGAAAGGAAAAACTAGCTAAATGAAGCCGTACCTTTGGCTATGGAGGAGAGCACTTACACGGGAAAGAAGGAGAAAAGATAACTTAGTGTTTTTCACTTTCCCCTTTTTCCTATACTTTAATATCCTAATTAAAATCAATTTTAAATTCATTTCCCCTTAAAGGACCACAATGGCCCTTTTATTCTTTCATTGTTACAAATTGGTCTTAAACACTATTTCTAAATCATTTCTTATCCTTAATCATTTATTCAAATTAATCGTCATATTTTAAATTTTTTCAATAAAGTCACTGACTTGATATTTGGGGTATTACAATTCTCCTCCCCTTAAGAAAATTCGTCCTCGAATTAAAAGAAGTACCTGAAACGAAGAGGTGTGGAAATTGCTTCCTCATGTTCTCCTCTCTTTCCCAAGTAGCTTCTCCCACCTTATGATTCTGCCAGAGCACTTTAACTAAATGAATCTTCTTACTATGCAGTTCTTTATTTTCTCTAGCCAAGATCTGCACTGGTTTTCCCCCATAAGTCATATATGGTCGGATCTCTATCTCCTCTAGTGATAATATGGGATAGATCATATTGGTACCTTCTTAGCATCGACACATGAAAGACATTGTGGATCTTATCCATATCCAGAGGCAAAGTTAATTGATAAGCTACGGGTCCAACCATTTTCAAGATCTCATAAGGTCCAATGAATCTCGGACTCAGCTTTCCTTTGCACCCAAACCGCAATACTTTATTCCAGGGCGACACTTTCAAAAATACCTTGTCTCCCACTTGAAATTTAGTTTCTTTTCTTTTCAAATCAGCATAAGATTTTTTTCGATCGTAGGCTATCTTTAGATTATCCTGGATAATTTTCACTTTTTCCTCTATTTCTTTCATCAAATTCGGGCCAACTAGGTCTCGATCCTTTAGTTCAAACCAATTTAAGGGTTTCGACACTTTCTCCCATACAAAGCTTCATATGGGGCCATCTTAATACTCGATTGGTAACTCTTATTATAAGCAAATTCTACTAAAGGAAAATACCTTTCCCATGATCCTTTAAACTCAATCACACATGCCCTTAGCATATCCTCTAATATTTTAATAGTTATCTGACTGCCCATCTGTCTGCAGATGAAAAGCTGTGTTGAAATTCAATCGAGTACCCAATTCTCATGTAAGGACTTCCAGAATCTTGAAGTAAACCTTGGGTCTAGATCGGACACTATCGATATAGCACTCTATGCAGCTGAACTATTTCTTTTATATACAATTATGTATATTTATCCATCGAGTAATCTACCTGAACTGGAATAAAGTGAGTTGTCTTGGCCAATCTGTCTACAATTACCCATATTGAGTCCTTTTTACCTGGTGATAAAGGTAACCCGGAAACAAGATCTATTATAACTCATTCTCATTTCCACTCAGGAATGGATATTGGTTGTAGCAATCCATATGACACTTGGTGTTCACCTTTCACTTGTTGACATGTCAAACATCTCACAACAAACTCTAATACAACTCTTTTCATACCAGACCACCAATAACGACTCTTTAAATCCTGATACATCTTATTCCCGCTTGGGTGCATCGTTAAAGGACTATAACGTGCCTCGGAAAGAATATCTTTCTTCAATTCCATGATAATATAAACATCTATCAGCCCTCATTTCAAAGTCTTTGATTTCTTCTTTTTCTACTTGTGCCATCCTCGCCAAACAGTTCTCATCTTGACCTTTCAGCTCTTTTACCCGATCCAAAAGCATCGGCTTTAACTTAAGTTCAGAAATCAAGGCACCATCTTCCTTTAAAGACATGCGCGCATCCAAAGCCCATAGAGCGGCAAAAGTCTTTCGGCTAAGTACATTCGCTACCATTTTAGCCTTTCGGGATGATAATCAATAATCAAATCATAATCTTTTAAAAGCTCGATCCATCTTATTTGCCTTAAGTTCAGTTATTTTTAGTCAAAAAGTACTTTAGACTCTTGTGATCCGTATAAATATGGCACCGCTCACCATACAGATAATGACGCCAAATTTTCAAGGCAGATACGACTACTACCAATTCCAAATCGTGTGCCGAGTAATTTTTCTCGTGATTCTTCAACTTTCTTGAGGAATAAGCCATAACTTTACCGTCTTGCATGAGTACACATCCCAACCCATTGTGAGATGCATCATTATATACTACATAGTCTTTACCCGACTCAGATTGTACTAGCACTGGGGCCTTTGTTACTATTCTCTTTAACATTTCAAAACTTTCTTGGCATTTCTTTGACCAAACAAAAGGCACATCTTTCCTTAACAACTTAGTTAGTGGCAAAGTTAAATTGATAAGTTCTTCACGAACCGTCTATAATAACCAACAAGCCCCAAGAAACTCCAAACTTCATAAACATTCTTTGGGGCTTGCCAATCCACTATAGATTGGATCTTTTTAGGATCTACTCTTATGCCTTCTGTGGAGACTATATGACCAAGGAAAGCAATCTCAGCTAACCAAAATTCGCACTTGGACAATTTGGCATACAACTTCTTCTTTCGAAGTGTCTGAAGAACCACTCGAAGATGGTCATCATGTTCCTCTATTGACTTAGAATACACCAAAATATCGTCTATAAATACTACCACGAATTGATCCAAGTAAGGTTGGAATACTCGGTTCATAAAGTCCATAAATGATGTAGGAACATTAGTCAATCCAAATGGCATCACCACAAATTCATAGTGTCCATACCGAGTCCGAAAAACTGTTTTTGAAATATCATCCGCTTTTATCTTTAATTAGTGGTACCCCGACCTCATATCTATCTTAGAGAACACTGTTACGCCTTTCAATTGATTGAACAGATCATCAATCCTTGGAATAGATACTTATTCTTTATCGTTAGTTTGTTTAAGTGACGGTAGTCGATGTATAATCACAGAGACCTGT